TTGAATAACAAAACTGCCTTTAGACTTGTGTTCGAAGAGTCAACAAATATTCGCCACTCGGTAGGTATATACAGGGTGTCCCAGAAGTCGACGTCAAGCCGAAACCGGGTGATAGGCAAGTCATAACAGCTATCAGAAAAATATTTAAAAAATTTTTATGTACGTGTTTTGAAAATTATGGGTCTTTGAAAAAGATATAGAAATTTCACACCCTACGGCAGTCTGTCAATTTCTGTTACTACAAATATTAACTTTTTTTTGGATTTTATTTTTAAAATGTAATGATGAATAATGCATCTTCAAACTGGTGTCTCAACCTTACTGCCAACTTTTCTCGTTCAGGAAAAATTGCCACTTATTTCCCAACCAAGTATTCCAAAGTAAAACGTTGCTCAACTTTAACTGGCTGTACTGGAAAAAATGTACTACGAGAGTTTAGCAAGTAACCTTAAAAGTTGGCGCATTTCATAACGATTCCAAAATGGTATAACACTTAGAAGATTACTCGTTAACTTATGCACAATTTTTATTTGAAGAAAAACTGATGAAAATTTTTCAAAATTTCCTAATTAAACAGCGATTATGAAAACGCACAAGGACCCTTAAGGATAACTGTTAGCACAACAGTGGGCGTCAAAATGCTGCTGATGATGATTTACCTTTACAGCAAATGCTCAAACTGTTTTCCTTCAGCCGCAATACACGCTCGACATCTTCTTAACAAGATCGGGTTATTAAGCGAGCGAATCCACGGTTATTAACAAGCTCAGCTGCTTCCAATAGTCTTTGCCGTAGCTCAGCTACATTTTGAATCGGCTTGAAATACACTTTTTCTGTTACAGTTCCCCAGTAAAAAAATCTAAAGGATTCAAATCAGGTGATCGGGCTGGCCACGGTATTGTACCAGACCGCCTTATCCATCTGCCTGGAAAGTTTTGATCGAGATACTCTCTCACTGAGAGTGCATAGTGCGCTGGGCAGCCATCATGCTGAAACCACATGTCCCTGTAAATACTCAGTGGCACGTCCATCAATAAATTTTGTACATGATTTTTCAATAAATCCAAATAAACTTCAGCAGTCAAAGTCTCTGGGAACTCAAACGGAACGATTATTTTACCATTTAAAATTCCAGTCCAATGGTTTATCTTGAAGCGATATTGAGATTTATCTTCTCTCATCAAATGTGGGTTTGCTACGTGCCACTCGTGTAAGTTATGCAGGTTCATGTACCCATCTTTCTTAAATGTGGTCTCATCCGACCATAAAATTTTTTCAAAGAACTGTGAATCTTTCCTGTGTCTTTCTAACATAGTGCGACAAAAAGCAACTCGGGGCTCATAATCCCGGGGCAGGAGAGGTTGAACACGCTGTATGTGGTATGGATGAAGCACATCACTTACTTGCTATTGCATACTTTGATACCGATCAGTACTCCTTCGTTTACTACGCATCTTTACATGTTCGTGCTTGTTGATTTCGTACTGTTACTAATTTTGGATTCGTGAACTGGACTGTTGATCGCTTGTGATTTGGATTTGGACTGTTTAATTGCTCTTCAAAACAACATTTGCTTTCCTTAGACTATCTTTGATAGTGTGATTGTGCAGTGCCGCTATGTCCATGTACACCGTACAAGAATATGCTAACATGCACCTCATTTATGGGGAATGCAGATGCAACGCTAGTGCTGCAGCGAGACTTTACTGTGAGAGGTACCCGAATGCAGCTCGTCATCCAGATCATCGAGTGTTCACAAATGTGCACCGCTTACTGTTCTCAGAGGGCCAACTACCAAACCAATCACACGGTGAGGGAAGATCTTTCCTTCCTTACGAAGACGTGGTGCTAGGAGCTGCCGAAGAAGACCCGAGTACTTCAGTGCGTGCAATAGAACTAAAAACAGGTGTGCCCAAAAGTACAGCCCATAGAATCTTGCAAAAATACGTGCTCCATCCATATCACGTACAGCGTGTTCAAGCTCTTCTGCCCCGGAATTATTAGCCCCGAGTTGCTTTTTGTCGCACAATGTTAGAAAGACACAGGGAAGATCCACGGTTCTTTGAAAAAATTTTATGGTCAGATGAGACCACATTTAAGAAAGATGGGTACATGAACCTGCATGACTTACACGAGTGGCACGTAGCAAACCCACATTTGATGAGAGAAGATAAATCTCAATATCGCTTCAAGATAAACCATTGGACAGGAATTTTAAATGGTAAAATAATCGGTCCGTTTGAGTTAACAGAGACTTTGACTGCTGAGGTTTATTTAGGTTTTTTGCAAAATCATTTAGAAAATTTATTGGAGGACGTGCCACTGAGTATTTACAGGGACATGTGGTTTCAGCATGATGGCTGCCCAGCGCACTATGCACTCTCAGTGATAGAGTATCTCGATCAAAACTTTCCAGGCAGATGGATAGGGCGGTCTGGTACAATACCGTGGCCAGCCCGGTCACCAGATTTGAATCCGTTAGATTTTTTTTACTGGGGAACTGTAAAAGAAAAAGTGTATTTCAAGCCGATTCAAAATGTAGCTGAGCTACGGCAAAGACTATTGGAAGCAGCTGAGTTTGTTAATAACCGTGGATTCGCTCGTTTAATAACCCGATCTTTTTTAAGAAGATGTCGAGCTTGTATTGCGGGCTGAAGGAAAACAGTTTGAGCATTTGCTGTAAAGGTAAATCATCAGCAGCAGCATTTTGACGCCCACTGTTGTGCAAACAGTTATCCTTAAGGGTCCTTGTGCGTTTTCATAATCGCTGTTTAATTAGGAAATTTTGAAAAATTTTCATCAGTTTTTCTTCAAATAAAAATTGTTCATAAGTTAACGAGTAATCTTCTAAGTGTTATACCATTTTGGAATCCTTATTAAATGCGCCAACTTTTAAGGTTACTTGCCAAACTCTCGTAGTACATTTTTTCCTGTTCAGCCAGTTAAAGTTGAGCAAAGTTTTACTTTGGAATACTTGGTTGGGAAATAAGTGGCAATTTTTCCTGAACGAGAAAAGTTGGCAGTAAGGTTGAGACACCAGTTTGAAGATGCATTATTCATCATTACATTGTAAAAATAAAATCCAAAAAAAGTTAATATTTGTAGTAACAGGAGTTGACAGACTGCCGTAGGGTGTGAAATTTCTATATTTTTTTCAAAGACCTATAATTTCCAAAACACATACATAAAATTTTTTTAAATATTTTTCTGATAGCTGTTATGACTTTGCCTATCACCCGGTTTCGGCTTGACGTCGACTTCTGGGACACCCTGTATAATGCCAAGTTGATTCAGTAATCCTGGAATATCATGACAGTAAACTGAGTCATTTTCCATTGCGAAAAATACGGTAAGCATAGACTGCTTGTTCCGAAACGTGAAAATGTTCACACCTGTTTGTGAAAGGTTCCATTGCTGCAAATGAGATCCAAGTAGTTGTGATTTTCTTTTGGGAAGATCTAAATCACGAACTAGATCATTGAGCTCTTCCTGAGATATAAAATATGGCTGCTTGCTGCTACTACATTCGAAAACGACTTCCTCTTCAAAACTTAGACCGGCTTCTGACTCCTCTGTGTCAGAATTATCTGGTTAATCATATTTCTTTGGAGGCTTAGGAACAGGTATGCTAAAAGAGTCTTAAGGTACAGGTCTACTGGCTGAGGGGATATTAGTTAAGCAAAAGTAACAATCATCAACATCGTTCTTAGGTTCTCGCCAAATCATTGGCATGCCAAATTTCAAACAGGTTTGAGTACCCCGTAGCCATACTGCTAAGGTCCTTGAGCAAGTGCGGCAGCATGTTTTGGGAGCCCTAGTTTTGTCTTGATCGGCAACTTTGAACCCGAAATATGACTCGTAGGCTTTTCTTACAAGTGGGCTGAGCTTTCAGTGTCACCTCACCATAACTACATATAACAGAAACTGTCGGATAGGTCACACAGGATCGCAACGGCACTGCTTCGCTCATATATATATATATATATACGTATATATAGGTGAAAAATTAAAGCTTCCGCCTTTTGTTGGGTACTTCGACAAAAATTTTAAGCAAGGAGGACTCTTTATACTTTATTTATTCTCTCTAGCTTTCAATGGACTTTGCCATCATCAACAGGAGCTGCAATTATTGATGCAACTATAGGTCTTACTGAGAGTACAGGTTTGTGAATTTTCGGAAGTGCATAGAATTTAGGAGGGACAGAGTTATAAGTAGTCAAAGTTCTTTTTTGTTCTTGGGTTATTTGTCCAGTGCTGAGAAGTTCCTTAACAATGTCATTACTTTTCTTTTCCACCTTAGGTGTAGGTCTTAGCATTATCACTGTAACATTGCCTTTGTCAGATCTTGTAACCATAAGTTCAGAATGTCGTTTTAGAAATGTTCTAGTTTTTTTTAAAAGGTTGTGATAAAATGAATGCTTTTTATTAAGATTGTTGCAACAATATAAAATGAAAGACAGAGTCCCGCTGCTTGGCTTAACCAACACAGTCTACTCTATCAATTGCAACAATTGCAACCAAATATACATAGGTCAGACCTCCAGATCTCTTAAAGAAAGGATTACATCACACAAAAGTGATTCTAGGCTTCATCCTGAAAGATCTGCTCTAGCATCTCATGTTAACACAACAGGGCACTCTATGAACTACACAAGTTCTCGATAAAGTAAAACACCTATCCCAACGCTTATTCCTGGAAATGTCCCACATTTTCATGAATAACAACTGTATCAATAAAAAGACAGAGGTTAAGCAACTGAGTGTCATTTACTCATATTTGCTAAACTGCGAAAAATTGGAGCACTTACACATCTCCCCAAATTTTGACTCTTCACAACCATAAATGGAGTCTGTTTCTTGGTCTATTCCACCAATAAACTTCATTCCATTCAAATTTTAATAATTTTTTCCTCACGATTAAATAATAACTGTTAATTTAATTGCCCATTAATAAAGTATAGTCAATTCAACTGCCTCTGGTCGGTTTGACAATTTCTTACCTAACACATTTTGAAAATCACATCATCTGAAGTGATTTGGCAACGTAGCACACGCCCACAAAAGAATTCGTTCCATCATTCTACACAGACACTGATAACCTTCGGCCATCTGTCAAAGGGTTCATCTTACTCATTATTCCATGCCCATCATCTTGTGCAATCATCAAGTGGCTTCACGATGTAATGCTTCCATGTTCTAAAAATTTTTAATCTGTTTTTAACTTGTTCTTGTCACACAGTTGTGTGTATTTTATATAATTTTGACCATTGTACCATTTATCCAGCTTTCACCATGTTACTGGGTGTTTCCCTCATCCTGAACGTAAACAACAATTAGCAACATCCTCACATACTACTGTAAGTTAAGTTAATTTAAATTCATTTTACACTATTGTTGCTACTGTTATCAATGTAATTTCAGCTCCTGATGATGATGACAAAGTCCATTGAAAGCTAGAGAGAATAAAAAAAGTATAAAGAGTCCTCCTTGCTTAAAATTTTTGTCGAAGTACCCAACAAAAGGCGGAAGCTTTAATTTTTCACCTAACTGGTCTAGACGACAATGACCACGTCTCAAGTTATATATATATACAGTACTCTCTCGATAATCCACCGCTTGATAATCCGCCCACTACGGTAATCCGCCGTTTTTGTAGTATTGAAACCAACTCGACAATCCGCCCATGCTTAAACATTTAACCTGGTAATCCGCCGTCTGCTTTGAGAATTACTGCGTATTACCAGCTCTCCGCAGTCCGCCGTACAAAACAACAGCGTGCAGAAGTGTATATATATATATATATATATATATATATATATATATATATTTATATATATATATATATATATACAGGATGACTTCGAAGTTGAGTCATTTATTTTAACAGTGAGTAGATCTGATCAAAAGAAATGTTTTTTTCCTTTAACATTTTTCTGGTAAAATTAACGTAACAAAGTTATAGCCCTTTAGAAGTTTGAGTACCGCCCTGTCTCAATAATAATATTATGTGCTCGTGTTTGGCGACAACGGATATAATCCGCATCGGTTCATCGCATCGGAAAAAAAAAGCGAAAGAATTTGAAACGCTTATCACGAGGTTTTTAGTTGGATTCAGTCGGTAACGCGTAAGTGAATAGTGGTGTTTGTTGCGTGGCTCAAACGAAATAAAAAATGGCACATGTTTACGAAAATGCTGAACTTGTGGACATGATTCTTACTTACGGGGGGGGGGGGTCTTTACAAAATGCTGCCGCGGCATCACGGATTTGTGCGAATCGGTTCCCCAATCGAGTGCAACCAACCCCTCGTGCCTTTGTTAATGTAGTACAAAGGGCTCGTGAATCAGGTGACTTAAGACCTCACAGGGGAGGGCATGCCGGTTCTCCAAGACCGCACGATCAAATACAGGTCCGCACTGAAATACTTGTCGGGAGGATACTTTATAAAACAAGGTAACATTTTGTTTTTATTTTTTTTTCATTTTTACACACATATTTTGGTTTATCTTCCTTCTACAATCATTATCTGAAAATTAATGACTCAACTTCAAGTATATATAACAAAAAATAGAAAAATAATGGGTAAAATCCGCGAAAAGCAGGAAAGTGGATTCGAGCAGAAAATAGGATAGGTAAAGCGAGCTATACGTATTTCTGCTGATTGGCTTCATCAGGCCCGAAATGAATGCACATATGCAACTACAAAAGTACAAACACATGCCCATACATCCGGATACGAGTGTAACCTGACGAAAACGAAGATGGACAGGGTAAACATGACACACGAAGTCCACAACAAGAGCCAACCTACACATTGTAGTATAAAATGGCTAGAAGACCTCGAATTTTCAAGGCGACATCTAACCACAACCATGCGGCCGGTTATAAACACATGCTGTGGTACTTCAAGCCCAAAGGATCTACAAAGAGAAAATGATCATGCGGAGAAAGGTATATAACAAAAAATAGGAAAATAATGGGCAAAATCCGCAAAAAGCAGGAAAGTGGATTCGAGCAGAAAATAGGATAGGTAACCCGAGCGATACGTATTTCTGCTGGTTGGCTTCATCAGGCTCGAAATGAATGCACATATGCAACTACAAAAGTAGAAACACATGCCCATACATCCGGATACGGGTGTAACCTGACGAAGCGAAGATGGCCAAGCCAAGCAGCGGGAACAATATAACCGCCATCCCAAATTTTAGATCTGGTGTTGCTGTCATACCCTATATCAAAGAACTGACCCCTAAGCTGATCAGACTATGTAGCCCGTTGAACTGTCGAATTGCTTGCAAATCCGTCCTCGCTATAAACTGTATTTTTTCAAAGATGAAAGACAGAGCCCCGCTGCTTGGCTTAACGAACACAGTTTACTCTATCAATTGCAATAATTGCAACCAAATATACATAGGTCAGACCTCTATATCTCTAAAAGGAAGGATTCCATCACATAAAAGTGATTCTAGGCTTCATCCCGAGAGATGTGCTCTGGCATCTCATGTCAATACAACAGGGCACACTATGAACTACACAAGTATCAAAGTTCTTGGTAAAGAAAAACACCTATCCAAACGTTTATTCCTGGAAATGTCCCACATTTTCATGAATGACGTATGAATAAGAAGACAGATGTTAAGCAACTGAGCGTCATTTACTTATATTTGCTAAACTGCGAAAAGTTGGTGCACGTACATATCTCTCCAAATTGCGACTTTTCACAACCATAAATGGAATCTGTGTTATGGTCTATTCCACCCTTTCCCTCCAAAATTTCCATTCCATTCAAATTTGAATAATGGTTTTTTCTCATAATAAAATAATAATTGTTTAATTTAATTGCCCATCTCATCAATAATACGGTTTGTTCAACCGCCTCTGGTCTGCTGACAAGTTCTTATTTAACATACCTTGATAAATAACACCATCTGAAGTGATTTGGCAACATAGTACACTCTTTACGAATCTTCGTTCCATCCATCGACACTGACAACACAAACTTTCTGTCACCTGTCAAATGTTTCATCCTATAGTTGGACCAGCGAAAGATTGCAAGCCGAAAGAATGCGGACAAAAAATTGCGAAGTTGTCAGATGTTCTACATAAAATGCGGTCCATACATATTAACATATTTAAGATATAGAATTGTTCCGCTGAATTTGGCAATGTAGCTGGAAAACCCAGGCCGCAGGTAAACATCCGGTCGCTGATTGGTCCAAAACTCTTATCTTATCTGAAACTAGAATAACGTGCCGATGGCACGGTCATTTATAAACCTACTCCCATAGGCGTAGGCAGTTGGCAAATACTTTGAAAATATAATTTACTGTTTAGTGGTGATAATGGAATTCAAGCATGGGAAAGTTATTCACAGCCAGGCAAGGGAAATAATAGCAAACGTGATACGTGCTTGCGATGCAGAAGCGGCTAACAATACTTTCGTTTATCCACTGGTAGCTAGAAATGCAAGGGCGGCATATTATACGGGTGTTAGTGAACGAACTATAAGTAAAATTAGAAAAGAAGATAAAGACAGGCAAAATGCAACCTCCACACAGCCTTTAGCTTCTCCCGGAAAAAAGAGATCACGCCCTTCTGTGATCCAAAAAATTGATGGAGTCGATTTTTCCATTATTCGGAGAATGATAGAAAAATTTTACTGTGATTTTAAAGTGGTACCTACTTGTAGTAAACTTCTAATCAAACTGAAGGAAGAAATGGAATTTCCATTTGGTAAAGAATCGTTGAGGCTGCTTTTAAAAGCAAAAGGATTTTACTGGCGTAAATGCCACAACAAAAGGAAATTACTAATGGAAAGACCCAGTATTTTACATTGGCGATACAAGTATCTTAGGTCTATTAAAAAGTTCCGGGAAGAAGGAAGGCATATTATTTATTTGGACGAAACTTGGGTTGATAATGACCTCACTTTCAAGAAATGCTGGCAAAGCGAAGAAATTATGGGTGTCCTGAGCAATATAAGTTCTACAGGTAATAAAGTTTCTTTCACCTCGATTTTGCTTATTATACATTTTTCTCAATTTTGGAATATTCTTAATAAGTGCTCATTTAATTTGTCTAATTGAATACATAATCCCTTGCAAGTATTTTTTTCTCAAAAATATGTTTTTTATACATAGTGATTCAAAAAGGTGTTGGCAAACTTAAAATAACACTAAAATGAGGCTATTTATTCATTTCCAGGACGACTTATAATTGTTCATGCGGGTTCGCAAGATGGTTTTGTTCCTGGAGCCTGTCTCATTTTCAAGGCTGGCTGTGCCACTGGTGATTATCACGGTCAAATGAACCAAGAAAATTTCACGAAGTGGCTTACTGAAAAACTATTTCCTAACATTCCTCCTAATAGTATTATAATAATGGATAATGCACCTTACCATTCAGCTTTGGAAGACAAGCCTCCAACTAGATCTTCTCTAAAAAGAGACATCATCACGTGGTTGAGCAAAAAAGGTATAGAGCATGATCCTAATGCTAAAAAAATGGAGCTTTATGAAATAGCTTGTCTACATAGGCCACCATCTGATGAGAAAAATTATAAGATAGATAATTTAATAAGAAGTTTCGGACACACCCCACTTCGAACGCCACCCTATATGTGTCAGTTTAATCCCATAGAGATGATTTGGGCACAAGTAAAATTTTTCATTAGAAGCCATAATACAAGCGGCGAATTTACTATAAAAAAACTAGATGAAATTTCTAATAAGGCCATCGCTTCAGTAAGTGCCAGTGACTGGCAAAAGGTTATTGGACATGTTATAAAAATTGAAGATGAATATTGGGAAAAAGACAGTCTCATTCAAGAAATACAGGAAGAAATAATAATCAACATAGGAGGTGAAAGTGATAGCAATGACAGTTCCTCAGACAGTGATCATGACTCTAATCAGGATTGAAACTATACTAGATTGGCTACCTTTTAGAATTTTTAGATATTCATTTATTATACTATTGGTTTGTGGCTTTTAGTATCTCAGTAGAAAGTCTAATTCTATGTGTTGTTTATGGGTTATTTCATCAAGAAATTACTTTTTGTTTTCCTATATTTTTCTATTCAGTCAGATATTTTTGACTTGTTGTATTCTATTTTAGAAGAATGCATAATTTGTTTTGCTGTTCAATCATAATGCGTACATAGGAATATTACTTGTTGCCTAAAAAATATATTTATTTTGTTCTCAATATTCAGTGTTTGTGTATATTTATTTCTTATAATGTATGTTTGGTATCACGTCATTATGAATCGCAAAAAAATATTAATACTACCAGTTGTAATAAAATATAAATTCAATTAATAATTCAAGTCTCTCCGATCTCCGCCTATGACTCCATATAAAATCGTCTAATGGTAAGGTTTTTTCATCGCATTTCCCCCTTTCGTCCCTAGCAATCTTTGGCTGGTCGATCAATACTTGTGATCCTGTGCCCACCATCTTGTGCAGCATCAGGTGGTTCACGATGTAATTTTAACTTTCGTTTTAAATATTTTTAATCCGTTTTAATTTGTTCCTGACATACAGCTGTGTGTAGTTTATATTAATTTTGACGAATGTACCATGTATCCAGCATTCACCAGGTTACTGATTGTTTCCCTCAACCTAAACGTTGATAACATGTAGCAACAATCTCACATACGACTTTAAGTTAATTTAAAATCATTTTGCACTATAGTTGCTATTTCTTCTCAATGTTATTGCAGCTCCTGATGAAGATGGCAAAGTCCATTGAAAGCTAGAGATTAATAAAGTGTAAAGCTTGAATTTTGTCGAAGTACCCAACAAAAGGCGGGAGCTTTATTTTTCACCTAACCAATTTTAGTTTTTTAACTTCCATTTAGTAAATATTTTTTCAAAGTGTTTAAAACCATAGTGATGTAAGTGAATTGATTTATTCGAAGGTAAGTGAATGACATTTTGCGTTGTCCTACATTTTGAAACTGTTAACTAGACTATCACTTCACTTGCGTATTAAAGTAAGATCCCAGGGCTGTCAGACATTAATTTGTGAAAGGCAAAACGTGGAGCAATGAATAGCGTTTAACATATTTGTGCTTTCAACGCCTGTGTACCAGCAAGTTGGGTGGTTGTCTGATTAGCTGGTACCAGGTGAGAAAGGTTAGGTAAAAATAAGAATAACTTTACCTAAATTCTGATTACTGAGTTTTATAATTTGTAAAACATTATTACAAAGTAATATTTCGAACTGCCATAACTTCTGACAGATGTTTTAAATAAGTTGTTCCGCTATAAATCGACCTCTTTCTAACTTGTTTGTATAACGGTATAGAAAAAAGTTTCTTATAGGAATTAGGGTTTAATATAAAGTTTTTCATGTTGGATTTGTTGTCTAAAAAAAGTCATATCGGAAAAAATTGTATTTTTTAAACGGGACATTATTAGAAACCAATGTTAGCCTATATACAAACAAGGCATTGTGTGAAAAATTTTATATTAGACTCTATAAAAAGTTGGTGGGTAGACAATTTATTGGGTGTGGCGGAAGTTATCGCTGGCGTGAAGTGACTGGCAGTACTGAATATTATTTTGTAATAATATTTTAGAAAGTTTATATAAAAATAGTCGGAATTTAAGTAAGGTTAGTCTTATTTTAACTTAACATTTCTCATCTGATACGAGCAAATCGGACCACTACCCAACTTGTCAGGTAGGCAGTCGTTGAAAGTACGTACAAACACTATTCAATGTCCCATGTTTTGTCTTTCAGAAAATAAGTAGTATGGCAGCCTTGCGACCTTAGACAATATTCCTATAACATGAAAAACATAAATGTGGTTCAGTAACTTCTAGCGAATTATTAGTGTATAGTTTATTTGACAACCGTTCAAGAGTAAGTTTTTTTGTCATGAAAATTGTATAAAAAATTCATGGAAATATTGTGGAACCAATTCACAAATCACATAAATTCAATAAGCGGAAGTCCCATTCTATTTCTTTCGCAAAAATATGAGGATATGCCTGAAATAAATGGTGTATTTTAATATGCGCACGATCTCAGACCTTTTTCCAACACTACGCATTCGAAAACGTTAAAACAATAAAAACTACTCTACTATATACTTAATCAGCTGCTGAGTAATCCACTGCCAGATTCTAGTTTACAAAAAGAAAAGCCCTACTGAAATGTAAGTTATCAGTTCTGATGATATAAGATAGAGGTCTTACCGCTCTGAATAAGCATGAATGTGAATCTTTGTCCAAGATGTTAGGATCTGCTCCACATTTGAGTAATATCTGGATACATTCCAGATGATTACCTGATGCTGCCAGCATCAATGCTGTCCTAGATTGTCTAAAAGAAAGATACAGAACACAAATAAGCAAATTATAAATATGTAAATACATTTAACCCTTAACCGGAAAGGTGCCGTCTGTGAGACTGCGGCGTTTCTATACCTGAGCGTATCTTTTTTTTATTGCACCTCTAACAGACGTAAAAACCCATCTAATCCATAAGCTATTAGTGACCATCGCCCACCCCCATTCACACGAGTCTAGCCAAAACGTGCCTTAAAATATGGACCAATTTTAGTTTGTTGCAGTCTGTCAGACGGCACGTTTCCGTTCCCGTTTGCTATTTGTGTTGCATAGGTGCGTTTGCGAGTATGGCGGGACCTTCTAAACGTGTACGATACGATGATCCGGAGTTCGAAGAAACCGTTCTAAAATGGTTTGAGGATGAAGGAAGTGACTTTAGTGATATAGACAGTGCCTCAGAAGACGAATACATGGAATCAGATCATACAAGTGATAGTGAGTTATCAGAAGACGGAGCCGAAGGAAATGAAGAGGATTTACCAGCTCAGAATTATTTCTATGGAAAAAATCGTCATAGGTGGAATATTTCGGAAGTTGTACCATCATCACGTACAAGGAAGCACAATATAGTCATTAAAGTACCAACTCTAAGAGGAAAAGCTCATGAATATGGAGAAGAAGCAGCTCCGTTGACGGTTTGGCAGCTTTTGTTCACTGACGACATGTTGGTACATATCGTTAATTGGACCAATCACAAGCTCAAAGAAATGCGAAAGAGATACAAAAATCAAACCAGCAACCTAAACGACACTGATTTAGTCGAAATAAAGGTACTATTGGGTCTCTTAGTATATACATCGGTGTTCAACAGCAACCACGAGAACATTGAAACACTTTTTGCCACCGATGGCTCTGGAAGAGATATATTCAGAGCTGTCATGAACATAAAACGATTTGGTATTCTCCTGTCAGCCTTAAGGTTTGATGACCCAGATGACAGGAATGAAAGAAAGAAGCTAGATCCAGTAGCACCAATATCTTTCATTTTTAATAGTTTTATAAAGAACTGTCAAGATGTGTACGGAGTTGGCCAGTCTGTCACTGTCGATGAAATGCTCGTGAGTTTCAGAGGAAGATGTCGATTTGAAATGTATATGCCTGCGAAACCTTGCAAATATGGCATAAAAATTATGGCATTGACGGATGCAAGGAATAGCTACCTCTATAACGCATATATATACTGCGGTAAAGATTCCGATAGTTTCGAACTTCCTGAGGAACACAAGCGGTATTCCAAACCCACACAATCAGTTCTACGTCTCGAGAAGCCTCTGTTTGGAACTAATCGCAACATTACAGCGGACAACTGGTTTACGTCAATAGAATTAATGGATGTCCTATTGAAGAACAAACTGACCTATGTGGGTACAATGAAGAAAAATAAAAGAGAAATTCCTCCGACATTTTTACCCAACAAATCAAGAGAAGTCGGATCAACAATGTACGGATTTCGAGAAGATTCCACTATTGTGTCTCATGTAAGCAAAAAAAATAAAGCCACAATACTCATATCTTCTATGCACCACAGAAAATATTGTGATCCGGAAACACAGAAACCGGAAATAATAGCCTATTACAATGCTAATAAAGGTGGAGTTGATTCACTTGATGAAAAATGTTCGAAGAGTACCTCAAGTCGCCGTTCGCGTAGGTGGCCACTGGTTATTTTCTACCGACTATTGCATATATCGGTAGTGAACTCGTATATTTTACACCAGTGCTATAAGAAAAATGAATTGCAGAAGGAAAAATCGGTATTTGCTAAGATGTTGGCCGCTAACCTGGTCCGTGAGCATATGGAAAATCGACTAGAGAGTCCCCGTTTACCTCGGGATTTGCGACTTACGATAAATCGCATCCTTGGCAAATGTGAACATCCAGCAACAGAAGCTGAAAATTTGGTTTTGGAAAAAAGGAAAGCCTGCTTTTTATGTCACCGAACGACCCATCGGATGACCAAATTTTTGTGTGTACAATGTAGGAAGCCTGTATGTCTTCAATGCTCCAAACCCAAATGTATTAGCTGCATAAATATAGGCAATGTTTGAGACTTGCAGTGAATTTTGATTGTGTTCTTTTTGTATTTATTGACTATAATATACTTTCCTTGTTCATTACTTAACTAGAAAATAGAAAAATATTGAGACTTTTCCATAGTTTTAATTTAGTTTCTGAATGTTGCAACAACAGCGTTATTTTTGTATGGTTTTAGCATAATTAATAAAAATGTTTCTTTTATGTTCTTGTATCATTTTGAAATGAGCATTTTACATATTAAACACATAAAATAAACATCCAGTATCAGTTTCAGCGAAGTTATTGCTTGCTTTTCGCCTTACTCTAATTTTTTGAACATCTTGAAGTTCGCAGTCTGAGAGACGGCATGTTTCCTTTTGTGTTCCAAAAATTCACGTTTCCTGTTAAGGGTTAATACAAAGACAGAACAGACAGAAGGCTAATAAAAATGTGTTAAAAAGAAGCTCAAATTAACTGTAATGTAGCCCGAAAAAGATCGTAGCTGCTGAATTTGTACCTGCATCTCCAATACGGTGTCAGCATTGTAAAGTTATCAACTGATCTACACATCTGTTACCTTGATTCGGAAGCTGGGTAATTAACTGATCGACAATATTTTCGTAGAATGTCGCTATTTTTCACTAAATAGTACTGCAGATTAGAATAATTTCATCGTCCCAAAAAGTAAACTCATTTATTAAAGGGGAAAAAATGATCAGGGCAGGTATTCGCGGGCTTACGGTTTTCAAAGCAATACAAAATCCGAGATCTCTGAAACATCCAGAGCAGTGCAAATGACTCCACATCCGCTTAGCGTTTTCGAAGCAACCCGGGTGATTAGGCAAAATGGAGTCGAATAACGAATTATTTTTAAATCAGATTTAAACTGAAACTGCTACAATAGTGAAGACGAATAAAATATAAAAGAAAAACAAAAACAAACTTGAATTTAGAGGTCAATAAAAAGAAATGTTTTTTCCGATGGTAAATATGCCGTTTTATACTTCTTAACCTTTACCTAAACGATAATGCTTTCAACAAGCTTTCAAATAAAAGCTGGTTACACCCTTTTTCCCTCTTGCCTTTAAAACGTAACACGCCTTTATTTGAAAACTTGAGATGAAGAAACTTCGTTACGGTTTGAAGGTAAAGACGTATATTTCCAATCGGAAAAAATATTTTTATACATTTAGTTCCTATTTATTATAGACTTTCTGTAATCACTTATTATAGCACTATCTCTTGTCTAATCTAATTGCGGTTTTGAAACCAATGTAGTCTCATCCTTGCTCAACAGAGCATACAGCGATCGAATAAAGAGTGCCCGCAATAGGACACTAACAGTGATGACAAAGTTGCGAAGATTTTCACGTGTATTTGTCGCTACAATTAAACATGTTAAGCACAACTCTTATTGTTATTTTATGATATTCTCGTGTTAAAAAGATTCCTCTAACCGATCATATGGGCAGAACCACGTATCTGACGTCTGGGACCCCGTTGTACACCTTTTCTCATACCACTTCAAAGGATGAACCGCAGAGCAGCATATTGTCAACATATACTGAGGTTCACAATTAAGTGAAAAGCCATTCTGAGAAGTAACCCTGTACATATGAAGCTGAAAAAAAGTGATCATCATAGCCGAAATGGGAAAATCCCCTGCATTACCCCAGCCCTCTGGGCCATTTTTAAATCTTGGACTTGGCCATGTAAAGTGTTCTCTTTCGCACAGATGTAACTTGGAAGCTGCAGCAATGTTTCCAAACTAACGTGCACAGTTCCACTTCACGACATATACTGTTCCCACCTGCTGTTTAACCGAAAGGGGGACTAAGATAACTGCTAAATTAAGCGCTACATGAAAGGTGCGAGGCTAATTAATATATGCCAGTTAACATTTAATTTCGTGACATATCGGCCTCCCAGGCACCATCAATTTCACGTCCTTGCCATATGTTCGCTGCCTTACCGATTAAGTTGAGAATCGTATCTCGCGTAACTATAGGACTCAGATTACATTATTATGTTAACGTCACTCTGTTCTATAAGCGTAAATTTAAGCTTCACATTAAACATTCAACTGTGTGATACTTCCATTGATTCAAAGAGGTTGTTGACTCATTTTGTGAGAAGTAAATAAACATTTTTTGGTATTTTAATGCTGTGATGGACTCATTCAAGGGCGTCCCGGAGGGGGGACAAATGAGCGATTTTTTTCGATAACCATTTAACCGTTGTAACGAACTAGAGATACCTGTAAGTTCCCATTTTGAAGGCGTTTTCATCCCTTTAGGTTTTAGTTTTAGCATCCATTCCAAAGAAAATATTAATTCTTCTGTAAAATTTTTTTTACAACAGGTTCACATTTGGCTAGTTCGCCTGATCAAATAAGTTTTATGACGGGCCAATGATTAAACTATTTTTTTTACGGTTACTCTATCGTTACAGGACCGAAAATGTACCTACTATGTTATACATGAAAATTATCCTTCCATTTGACGTTTTTTCGCGATTACAGTACTTCCCTGGCCTACTGACTTGACTGAAAAAATGAGCACCCTGTTTAAATTTTGAGGGATATGTACGCCCGAACAATACAGGGTTTGTCCGGAAAGTAGTAGAACTGTGTCGATTTAAAAAAATTATTTAGCCAATCGTTACAATTCTTTAAAAACTTTCAAAATAGGCTCCTTCTGCGTCGATGCAGCGCTGCCAGCGCGATTTCCAGCCATTGAAGGCGTCACGGAAGGCATTCTCCGGAATAGCCTTGAGAGCCGCGGCATATATTATCGGATTGCACCCCTCGTATTGCTCTTGCTGCGTTTGGAGTTATACAAAAGTGACTGGATGACTAGAATTTAAAAACCGAGTTTTGCCGGATTTCACAATATTTAAGTCCTCCAAATAAACTCTTGACTGAAATATACCAGCAAAGTTTAAATTTGTTCTGAATTTTGTCTTCCTCAAGAAATTTTTTTATTGCGTTCAAA